CCATATCTATGTCGCATTCAGAGTGAGATCATAGCTGCTTACTACTAGTGAAGAGGCGATACCAACATTGTAAGCAGTGTAGCTTTTTCGGTCGTTTTCAATATCTCTGAGGAGGTAGAACCTCGATCCAACCCAAGTACCCATTGTTATGAGCAGCGATGAAGCCAATGTTGAGGAGGAAAAGAATGCTCCAATGATGATAGACCACCCAATGACTCCTATGAGAATAGATACTCTTCCGATCTCGGGCATTTCAGTCGGAATGGTGTGGCGTCCAACCGCACGATCACCAACTTCGTCTCGAAAGTCCTGGGCATGGATAGTTGTGAAAATAATCACAGCATTGAGAAGTTGTGGCTCCAGCCGCCTCGAATGTTGAATCACTGCCATATGAATGGGTTTGAACTCGCCCATTCTTACAAATGTATGACTGGCTCACGTTCGCCACGGGCAACGAGATTAGCTCCGAAATCAAATGTTGCATAACCGGCAGCATTCAGTATGCCTCTGGAAAGCCAGTGGGAGTCCATTCCCATTTCGTTGTGGAGCAAGATAATTGCTGAGAAGGTAACACCCGGAATTGCAACGTTATATACCCGTGAAATTGCTAGGCATATTGGTAGAAGGGCCCATCTAAGGCAAGTCGCTTGTGCAGACGAGAGGAGAGCCGCAGGCAAAGGCCTCCATGGTTTATTTACTGCATCTTCTCCAATCGCCGAAGGTTTGCGCTGGTTCGACACACAAAACTGCAGAAGATTAACATAGGTCCAGATGAAGCATCGGATGACTCGTGGAGAGGGAGTACTGAATATCGCAAGAGATACCTAAGCAGGTGTCAGACGGATAATAAACGAGTGACGATGAATTTACGACGGGAATCAGAATAGTTATGAAGTCAGATTTGGTGAAGAGAAAGATAGAGATGGCGAGGTTGCGAGTCATGGTTAAGAAAATGAAGCGCAGAAGAAAATGTGGCAGAGTTTAGTGTATGTCTTTCTCCGAACACAATCAGAGTTTTCTTCCTCCTCGGATCGTCGTTCAGGCTCGCAATAAAATCGAACAGCGGGACGTGTCATCGTTGGTCCAAAATACAGATTTAGATATGTGATTGCCTTGCCATTAGGACCTCGACTGAGATTATTATAAGATTACAAATAACGATTGAGCATTATTATGGTAACCAATCAGAGATGTGGGCGACCTTCATTCTGAAGCACCCACAGAGACTGCGGGATCAATTTAGAATTCAATTAATCAGCTTCTTATCTTCTCCTGCTCCAAAATGGCTTACTTAGTTCCTAGGATTTGAGCGCTTCTAAGCGCCGTAAGGATCCACAAACGCTGATAAGTCGAAACGCCGTTGTGGTCTGCATTGACAACCGTGTTCCACCCAACGACTACTAGCAGCCATGGATAGCCTCCCTCCTGAAGCACTGACCGCTTTTCTTGCTGCAATCAAAGAGGCTCTAGGCACAGTCTTCATCGGCTTTACCATCGCTACGACGTGAATACTACTGCTTTGCGCATCCTCAGACATTGATTCTCTGCCGTGTCTCCAGGCTGTACGGGATTACCATCCTTCAGACCTATCTATATTTCAAGCACTACTCCAAAGACCCCGTCGCTCTTAAGGGCTTCGTAAGCGCCAGAGCCCCAATTTTCCTCTGTCGAACTGACACAAACACAGGTCTTCCTCCTCTGGTACATTTTTAAGATAGATTTCCCGGCGTTCTGACACGAAATCAGGCTCCTCGACTCACTCACCACTGTTTTTGTGGCCCACTCGTTGTACACGTACCTCGTCTTAAATCTGGTGAATGTTGCCAATGATGCAATAATTCCATGGCAAGTACTTATCTCACCTCCTGCAGTAAATCTATAACGGTCCCTCAGGAGCTTTGCTGTTAGTTCCTGAGACAGTTTCGATTGCTTTCGCTTATCCTGGCTGTTTACAGGCAGAAAACGAAGTTGTAGTAGGTGGACATGACGATGCAATTTACTATATCCATCTGACATGTTCAATAGGACATAATCACCTTACTGGTCCAATGGTATTCTGCCACCTTTGATCTTGAATTCCACCACATCTAACTGCTATTTCCAGTTTCTTTGGGTACCAGGTGTTTCGATGTATGATTTTTGAGAACATAACAATTCCGACTCACCTCATGTTGTACCAGTTTCGAAGAGTAAGATCATCTCCGGATTTATAGTGAGGGCCGCATGTACCCTCTTCTCTTTGTGGCTCACTTGAATAGGTTTCCCTATCCCTCGCGGCCTTCTGTCAGTCAATTTCGAACTGCCTTCGATACAAAATCATTTACGTGCCTTTCTCTAGGCCTGGATATCAGTATGTCTTCCTTTTTGGTTTGTGAGTACGTTTAGCTTGACGGGAGGGACAATGCAGAGGTCACATCGTTACTGTATGTGTACTTTCTGCGGTATCACTCCATGCTCATACAGAGATGGTTGTTCAAAACAGCTTTCAAGATCTATCCATCGCAAGTCTCGCTAGCCGTGATGTTTTTGTATGTCTGAACTCCTTCATGTCTGTTCCTTGGGGCTTTATAAATGAGCTCTTAGGTAATCGGCTCGATAGTTCAAGGCTTGAGCGCCCTGTGTGATATAGTCATCACCGTCAGCCTGATCTATTATCTGCGAGGGTCAAAGAGCGGCATCATGCAATCGTATGGCCCGTCAGTTTCTGCCGCAAAAGTCCTCTGACACACATCGTAGGACGAACACGTTGATTGACACGTTGATTTTGTATACTGTCACCCGTGGAATGGCCACTGCGTGAGTCTCTCGTTTTCCGTGCCCACGGTCATTCTAACCTGCAGCATCTGACAGTATTTGTCAATTGATGTTCATGATCCTCGTAAGTCGCCATTGACTCCATTTGCGTTCTCCACTGGACATTCCTTGCAATTCAGAATGTCGCATTTCCGAATGACACTTTCTGGCAACCGTTCCATCAAGCAGTGGGAAAGCGTAGGCTGGTTCTGTCTCATACATGTCTTTCTTTGAATCATTTCCAGTATATATCAACTCGCTGCTCGCATCTCTGAACTTCCGCGCGAGCACGAAAACTGGGGCCCCGGCTATCCCGCTCTGGAATCGTAACCATAGTGCGGCTCTAACATCCCAGTCTGGCAACACTGGCAGGACCGGGACAACGAGCGTGAGCGGTCTTCGTGCAACATAAGACTTCGCTGCTCAACTCATTTTGTAGACGTTAGCATTCCAATCTACAAGCAAAACAAGCAGCAAAACCGACACCAATTTCGAGGTCAGCATCTTCTTTGTTCATGTTCAGCAGATGCTGATCCAAGAGCGCCACTTGTAAAAAGCTCGAAATTATTTCGAGCCACGACAAAGCTTGAAGAATCTTTGGCTTGGGCAAACTTCGAGAGGGATTGCCATGTCCTTTGATTTATTGCTATCGAATTTATTTGGCAGTTACCCAATCTACGTTTAAATTATCAACAATGATACGGCCACGTCCTTTAATTTCGCAGGAGCAGCATTGACTTCACATACAATTGGCACGGTGTATCCTGTCCAGAGTGCGAGTCGCGACGAAGAGAATAATTGGCCGTCACATTTTGCCTCCTAAGTTCTATGTTTCTGCTCAGCTCCCAGTTCCCCAGCAATGATCAGCTGGCCTCTCCACACTGCCACACTTATATTCAGGCTATTATCTGCGCCAAACTCTCATCAGCATCACAATGCATTTCGCTCCCCAGTCACTCATTGTAGCCGATTCCTACTATCCCCAATGTATATAATGTCGCACTCACAATATTTTGCTTGAAGCAGTATCAGACGATAGAAGGAGTGCGCGATGACGCGGCGCAGGCAATATGCGCACCGAAAAAAAAACCTCCCAGGCGGTGCCTCGCTTACGCGGTTGAGTCGCCAAGGCTCCCAGTACCTTGTCCGCGACGGTCCCGCGCCGATACGCCTCCATGGAGGTTCCGACGATAGACGTGATTGAGAATTGAATTGGCCCGAGTCGGATGGATCGGTGGAGGGAGGGAGCAGCACAGAGTACCTGCGCAGGCCGAGCGAGGGAAGCGGAAGGACAAAAAAGGATATATTTGAGAGAAAAACGTGAAATACGAAATTTGAGGCATCCCTGAGACGCTGTAAACGCACGTTCAGTGGGTACCCACCGTGCCTTTGAAGGCGTGGAATCCGACGATGAGCACGGAAAGACGATCCGTGCTCGATGGAAGGCAGGGGACATTAAATCGGAAGTGAGGCGGGAGATCTCGAGTGAATGTGTGGAAGATCTGCGCATAGGGACGACGAGGGTGGAAAACGTGTGGACCATATAGAAAATCCGACCGGTGTGGCAAATAAAAAATATTAGTAGGTACGCGGTCCGTAACTAGGGGCAGTTCTGAAGCCGTGCGGTGGCGTCATGGCGTTGATTTTGGCAACGTGATAAATGTATTCTACGCCGGCGTGAGATTGGATTTAGGACACTGGACCGTGGACAATGTATGTTACATCATTTCTTCCTACCTTTATACAGATTTCTGTCTCACCCACCTTCAAGCTGTTCACCAACACCACGTCCTTCAGACAATTGATCCGGATTACAAGCTCAGCTAACCCTGCCTTTCGGGCCGTTGCCACCACCCAAGGCATGGCCTATGCTAATTCCACAGACCCCCCACCACCAGACGTGCCGACACCACCCGCCGTAGTTCAGATACCCTAAATGGATGGATGATCTACCAATGGCAACGATCCACCAAGGCTTAATCTCTGTATTTTGAGGCTGGATAGGTACGAGAAGTCTCTGAATGCGGCAGGTCACTTTTCAACCTTCTAAGCTATGATTGAATATCGGAGCAAACAAAAATTGAATGAATGTGGACTCCAACTAGTTGGGAAATTCTATATGCGTGGATGAACACAGAGACTGGTGTGTTTTGAATGAACTGAAAACAAAAAAAGTGAGAACAAAAAGTCTTCGCACGGGATCCACATGCCTTAGGGAGGATTCGAACCTCCGGCTTCCCGTATATTCTGAGTGTGGACTAACATTGATGAGGGATGATCTGCCAATTGATCCACCAAGGCTTATTTTCTATTTTTCGAAGCTGGGTGGGTGGGTGGGTGCAGTGAATTCTGTGCGAGCTGTAGACCTCCGCATGCCTTTGCTTGAGCGACTCAATCATCAGAATTAATGAATAGAATTACCGCGGAGTCTTTCCTAGTGCTAGTTAATCACGGCCTTCAATGGATAGAGCCGCACGAAGTTGGTGTAAAATTATGCAAAAGAACCTACATAGAGTGAGGGAAAAAGAGACAGGCTTACCACTTTATTATGCCTCGGGAGGGACTCGAACCCTCATCTTCCCATAATGTCATGGCTTTTCAGGATGGAGAAGGGATAATATACCAACTATCCGCCGAGGCGTTCGTGCTCTTATTTGAAGATAAGTGTTGTAAGTGCGAAAGGAGGTTGTAAATAGACCGCCCCGAATAAAATATCAATCAATCAGTGTGAATTTGAGTTCAGGTGAATTTATCCGGGTCGCGCGCAGAAAAAGATGTATTGTACGGAGGGGAAAGCGAGAAAATAATCCGCATAATGTGTTGGATGAAAAAAGTGGGAACATCCCCGTTTTGCCTCGAGAGGGATTCGAACCCCCATCTTCCCGTTCGAAAGATGAAATCTTATTGTAGTCCTGAGTGACTGAGTGGGGATGATCTACCAACTGATCTACCAAAGCTTATTCTCTGTATTTGAGGGTTGGATAGATGTTGTGATTGCCATGCGAGCCGCCTGTCTCTTTTCAACCTCGTCGGTCGACCGAATATCTGAGCCCACAAAACTTGAATCAATAGGGACTTCAACTGGTTTGGCAGTTCAACATGTGTATTATTAGACGGATTCGCAAGCTGGCATGTTCTGATTTTCGAATGAAACACGGGGAAAATAAAGGCAAGAACAAAAAGTCGCCGAACACGTTGTGTATGCCTTGGGGAGGATTCGAACCTCCGCCTTCCCACGGACTCCTTAGAACACCTTGGAATATAGACTGGGACGATCTGCCAATTGTTCCACCAAGGCTTATTTGACACTTCTAGGGAGGTTGGATAGATGCTGTAATTTTCGTACTAGTGGAGGTCGATTTGTCATCCTTGCCGATCTGAGCAAAAAGCGAACGAATGTGGACTACAATTGGGTTGGCCATTCTACATCTGAGCTCGTAGAGCGGCACATGAATTGAAACGATGGAAGAAATTCAGGCAAGAACAAAAAGCCATTTCTGGTGTTGATCAATGCCTTGGGAGGATTCGAACCTCCAGTAACCGTAGCACGTTTGTTTAAACAAATTGCGTCTAGACGCAAATTGCCGTTTAAACAGGTGTTTAATCTAAACATGTTTAACGGGATGATGCATTGATCAGGGCCGTTTAAACCGCGGATTAAACAGTGTTTAAACGGGTCAAAAAGGTATTTTCAACCGGGGTTCGAACTCACGACCCAGTTCCATGTATACATAAGCGGGAACAGGGAGCAGCAAACATCCGACTGAGCCAACATAAAGTGATATTTTGGGAATATAATGCTCCTATATTATGGGCCTAGGGCTCAGTACCCGAGTTGTACTACTACGCTTGCTGACCTGAATGAAGTCAAGTTCCACTTAAACAGGCTTACAAGTGATAGTTTAAACACAATGCGACACTGCCTCAAAGTAAAAAAGGAATTAATTACCTACTATATGTGACTGGTTACTCGGCCACCTAAGCGTTCGGCCTCAATTCATGGAAGTAGGAAAATTCCCACCATCCTCAGAAGGTATTTTGCACACTTATGACATCCTGTGATCAGTTTAAATTAAGTTTCCCGAATTTACATGATGATTTGAGGGTACAGTGAATTTTCTTTATGCGCCATGCCAAAAATGGCAGTTGATGGCTTAGTCGGCCACCCGCCCAAATGCACGACTTCTACCCAGTATTGGATCTCCAGTGCGTCTCGAATCGGATAGAAGTCATAGAGGAAGGATTTGGGGGTTACAGGGGAGGCATAAAACTTGCTTCCAGCAGGCAGTCTGATGCCGAAAACCAGCACTCTTAACTAACCGGGTGTTCCACAGCAGAAAAAGCACAAGCTGGTCCGAAATCGAGTGGGAATGGGTTTAAATCAAGGAAATGAATATAAATGGGGCACCATATGAATCCCCAGTGCCCACCATTCCCACAAAAAGAATCCAGAACTCCTGGACATCAAATTCAGCCAATTCCCTCTCATGTGCAGCAATACGAGAGAACTCCAGCACCCAAAATGATAACATGCTGTGGAAGTTGTGGCCTACCCTCTGTAGAAAGCCCTTGTCAAGACCCAGACTCATGCTGTCAAGGGGTCTTATGATATGGGGGTGGCCAAACTTCACCCCTCAGAATCAGAGTCCGTTCTTCTTGGACGCCTAGTGCACGTAGATCTTGATTATTCACGTTAAATTATGTCCAGCCCTCATTCCCCGACGGATAGCTACAGGATGAGCGCGGAAAGTCCCGGATTGACGAAGATTTCGCGAAGAACGGGCGGAACGAAGTGGTGTCGGCTGAATCATGTCAAGGAAATGATGTTCATACGCCTTGGATCGGTGATGAAAATGCCATAACTTTTGATCGACACATGACATTCTCTCAAAATTTGATCTGAACCAGCCTCATAGGTCATACTCACTCCCCCAACATCAAACTCATCGGTATTAACCAGTCACCGATAGTACCTACCTACCTTATAACTATTTTAAATGCTATGTCACCGCGATTGCACTGCTCCTCGGTACTCCGATCCCATTTCGTGCCTTGGCCCTGCAGTGAGTGGGCCAGCTCTGATTGCCAGGTGATTCAATATCAGAAAATTTTGCTTAGAACTCCTTTCTGTGGCTTTATTTACATCCATAAACGTTATCAACAGTCGCTTGGAGGTAATATGTTGTTCAATTTACTGGCTTGGCTGTTCCCTGATTCAAATTTTGGATTTCTTTGGATTTATTTCTGCCGGTTGAACGGACTCAGTTGAGTGTTCAATCATTTAATCCATACTTGAGCATCACACTCTCCACTCCGCATGTTAAAAGTCAGATTGAGAGTACCCTTGACCCAGCAAGTACAATTCTGACTTTGACATTTTTTAATTTCTCATACTCGCAGCCCCTCCTTAGAGTGCCATTATACATGTTCAACTTACCCCAGCAAGGGGTTTTCGAGGCAATATTTTTGTTGGGTTTCTTATGAACTGGCCACAATTCGCATTTTTCCCGATATATTGGGGGGGGGGGGATATATTATACCCGCGTGGTCCACAACATGAACAACGAGTTTACAGAAGGCATACATGTAGTACTATCAGGGTGGTTATCCTTCTAGAATTCTGCAAGATGTCAACTGAGCACGACATCATTCCAGGGGATCGATCACACAAGACGCTGGCCAAACTGCGACTGGCCGGCCATTCAGCGGGACCTCCTGTTGTAACCTCGTGGGGCCTGACCACAAGCCGAAGGCACAAGTGTGGGTCCCTCCTCCCAGGCAAAATTCCCCGGTATCCACCAGTCAACAGAAAGCTGTCGCATGTCTTGCCTTTGCAGAGTGCATGCGAGACCACACATCAGCATGTTCAACTTCCAAGGAAGGTTCACAGCCGACAATAAAACCCATCATCACCAAAGTCTTGTTGCTTCCAGATTTCCTTCACTCAATTCTCAACGATTTTTTCAACATTTGTACCATGATACAGCGCTCTGACTTTAAAATTCCTTCTACTAAGGTTTACAATCCGCTCTTGGATGTCTATTCTAGACACATAAATATCTCAAAACGTAAGAATGGTCCACTGCAAGGTAACCCTGGCCTGTATTGACCATTATTATTCTCAAGAAACTTTGGACTTTCTTAGTGCAATATAGTCGGTCCCTTTCTGGGTCCTTGTGTAGTTCGGAAGGCGACTTCATTTAAATTTAATGGCGCTCTCGAGGAAACTTGGGCCATGTATTGGATGTGGTGATTGGGGCGCAGCTGGCCTTTAATTCAGGGACTAAACACTCCTGCAGAAGAATGGGGTTCGACGCCTTGCATCTGAACTTCGGGTATTAGAATCTGCTAAATCATTTTCTCTCTGTCACGTCCAAAATTCTACTGACATGATGATATAGGTTCAAACTTCAAAGGCACACAAATTACTTATTAGGTGTACACTCCTTCAGAAAGCCTAGACAATTTCAGTGGTGCATCTTGTCAATATTTTTTCCCTTCCCCCCTAGGACGAAGTAACAGAAGCCAATGATACGAAGTAGCACCACTTGTGTTTCAATATTTTCTAATCTACTTGCAGCCTTTAGGGCAACAACTCAAACATGTCCATGGATTATTCCCGTTTTTCTTTTTCCACTCCCAAACTAACCTTTTCCCAGATCCACTTGCTTGACTTTGATCCTTGCTACTTCGAGGTCTAAAAGTACCTTGCCATGAGCTCGGCGCCTGATACACCATTTTGATTGAACATAAATGGTATGGTGTTCTCCAAAGACTTCGAACAGTGACCTTGATGGTGACTCTGAGTAAAAGTTGTCTCGACCTTGACATTTTGAACTGAGGGTTGAAAAAACCTCCATACACAAGGGGCAAAAGCCAGGGCATGTCACTGCAGCATGCGATGTAGGCATATGGCGGGTATGTACCCAGGGACTCGGCAGGATACTTCTGTCTATTCTATGTAGGTTCGTGCGAAAGCTTTCTTTGGTTCCTCTGGAATCTATTTTTACGTTGATTTACATATGTATATGGCCGAAATTTTCTTCAAAGAGTACTGGAATGAGCGGTGGGGTTTTTAAGAAAACCATATATTTTTCTTAGGAACAAACATGCATGTATGTGTTTATCTCAAGGTTGCGCTGTACGCGCTTCAATTTCAAAGCACCACATTGTTAGTTTACTGTGGTTCAAAGTTCTAGTGCAATATTTCCCTCGGGACCTTTGCTAACAGCACGGAGGAAAGAGACCCTGGCTTATAATTTGCTGTCTAAAAGTTGTCACATAGTTCTCGCCGGCCACTGGGATTTTCAGCCTCAAAAATAATTGCTAACAATTTTGTCAAACATGGCATATGGACCAAGCTAAAAATATATTTCAACGAGGACAAGTTAATCTTTGACGAGATGTGCGTGCATTGCTTGAGTAGATGCCCGTCATATGGCTCTACGGGATGCAGAGGTTACATGACTTGGATCTTGGTCACTGTGATAGTCACTACTAAATGCTATAAAGTCTGTTTGAATGTAAGCATGGCGCGGCTCGACTTGAGAAGCTCCAATTGACTCAAAATTCACACCTTCCCAGCTCGAGATATGTCGGTGTGCATTACAAGCCTTGTATCAGGTGCAGCAGGTTTATCCTCCACGAGGCATGAAACATGTGTGATTACAAGCTGTGCTTCGGGGACGATGAAAGCCTTTTGAGCTAACCAGGCAGTCAACCGGTGGCAACTTCATCAGAAATATATCAGTTTGAACCACTTGGTTTGTGCTTCAAGGCAGACTTGCATTATGTTTAAAATGTCACTTATAAGTCTGCTATAATGAACGACAAAGCAGTTAAAGGGAACCCTGAAGGAACAAGACTTCATTGTCTGAGAAACAAAACTTGACATCCGACCACTCACTTCATCGGAAATATATCTTAAACCTTCTATTCCTTTTTACTTCGAGGCAGGCTTGCATTGTGTTTAAACTATCACTTGTAAGCCTGTTTAATTGCAACTTGAGTTCAGCTCAGTTCAGCAAGCGTAGTAGTACAACTCGGGTACTGAGCCCTAGGCCCATAATATAGGAGCATTATATTCCCAAAACATCATTTTATGTTGGCTCAGTCGGATGTTTACTGCTCCCTGTTCCCGCTTATGTATACATGGAACTGGGTCGTGAGTTCGAACCCGGTTGAAAATGCCTTTTTGACCCGTTTAAACACTGTTTAAACCGCGGTTTAAACGGCCCTGATCAATGCATCATCCCGTTAAACATGTTTAGATTAAACACCTGTTTAAACGGCAATTTGCGTCTAGACGCAATTTGTTTAAACAAACGTGCTATAGATTCTTGAACCTCCGTCTTCCCGGTTATATACAACTCGACCAACTAACTAAGTAGGGATGATCTGCTGATTGATCTACCGAGGCACGTTCCCCACATTTCGAGCTTGGTTGTGTGCTGTAATTTCTGTACGAATTGAGTGTCCCCGTGCAACCAGCTATTATTGAATATCGGAGCAAACAAAATTGAATGAATGTGGGCTCTAGTTGGTTCGGCAATTCTACATGTGTAGATGAGTGCACAAGCTGGCATGTTCTGATTCTCGAATGAAAAAAAGGGGGTAAAATAACTAAGGGATGATCAGCCCGTTGATCCACCGAGGCTTATTGTCTACCTTTCGAGGTTGGATATGTGCGGTAGATATTTGTACAGGCTGCCTGTTTTCTTTTCAACCTTGTCCGTCGACTGAACAAAATTGAATGAATGTGGACTGCATTTGGTTTGGAAATTCTGCACGATGTAGATGAAAACACAGACTGGTGTATTTCGCATGAAAATAAGGCAAGAACAAAAAGTCATCCACCGAATTAATGTATGCCTCGGGGAGGATTCGAACCTCCGTCTTCCCACGTACATACTGCATCGAACTTCCATTAGGTATGGATGATCTGCCAATTGATTCACCAAGGCTTATTCTCCATATTTGGGAGGTTGAATAGGTGCAGTGATTTTTATGCAGGTCGCCTACCTCTGTTTCAGCCATCACCATGCGAATTCATGAAATAAAATACCGCGGATTCGCATTTGTTCTCCTAGTTCTACTTAGTCAACTACAGAACCGTACGAATTTGATGCTGAACCATTGCAGAGAAACCTGCACCAGGCGAGGAAAAAAGAGACAGGCTTATTACCACGATTACACGTCATGCCTCGGGAGGGACTCGAACCCTCGCCTTCCTTGATATTCTTACGCCTCCAAAACGGAGAAGGGATGATCAACCAACGATCCACCGAGACCTTTCTGCTTTCATTCGAGTCTAGGTATTGTAGGTGCGAAAGGAGGTTGTAAATAGACCGCCCCGAATAAAACATCTCAGTCGCTGAATTTGAGTTCAAGTGAAGTTTATCTGGGTCGCACGCAGAAAAAAATGTGTATTGTATGGTTATTGCACGGCGAGAAAATAAACCGCGTAATGTGTTGCATGAAAAAAAGTGTTAGCATCCCCGCTTATGCCTCGAGAGGGATTCGAACCCCCAGCTTCCCTCTGTAAAATTTGGCTGGCTCAAGTAACAGGGACGATTCACCATGATCCACCGAGGCTTTCCTGCACTATCTATGCCGCAGATATGTGTGGCGGTCAGTATACGTTAATGCCTCACCATAATTTGAACTTGAAACTTGAACCAAGCCCGGCAACTCCCGGCCTCTCAACCAATCGTGACCAATGAAGCGTCTCCTTTTCCGGCTGGTTCTTTCTCCCACCCACTGAGACTGACGTCGTGCTCGTTCATCTGGGGCTTGAGGTTTCGACGACGACTACACAGACGATGTCGACGATATCCATCCCGGGCCCTGTGCCACTCGCCTTTCCGCGGCCCGCCTCGCCCACAAAGTCGCCGACCACGTCCCGTTTTCGGGACAATAGCACCAATAACAACAATACCACGAATGTGAATAACTCGCTTACACCCGGTCACACACCAATTCGCTCTTTGACTCCCCTGTTGGAGGTACATACCTACTACTGCGAAAGCTATCACTTCAATTTATTGACTATGCCCATAGGCTCGCCACACCGCAGCACCCCAAGCATCGACGACCTCAAGCCCAACGCACACCCGTACCCCATACGCACAACATCTACCGCCCTCCTCACGCGCTCCAACTCCACCAGCTCGCAGCAGTAGAATGGAGGGCGGCACCACTACGTGCCGCCGCCATCCCCCCACCCTCGTCGCACCGCGATTGTACCAGCAGCAACGCCAGCGCTAGCGGGGACGGGAATGCGAGTGGTGGGGGCAGAACCGGGAAGGCGGGGGGCGAGAGGAGGGATGAGTACCGCAGGCGCCGCTACTCGCGCAATTTAAGTTCGAGCAAGGGGATGGCGTATGGGAGTGTCGCTGCAGAGAGCCTGAGGGCGCTGCCCGGGTTTGGTGCGTTTCCTCTCTATCCTTATATTCCCTGTCCTCTAAACTAATATTGCATATAACGGGACAGACACCACGCCAGACAATAAAGGAATAACCACCGCCCTCTCGCACAAGCGCTGGAGGCCCGCAGGGCTGGCCGCGTACCTCGCGGGCGAGGTTGGTGCGTAGGCGGTCGTTCAGTCGTAGGCATCGGCGAGGAGAAGCTGGGAAGGATTGGGTGAGTGGTTCTTCCTCCGTTTCTTTCTTTTATTTCCCCCTCCTTTCATCTATCCTCGCCCTTCGATCCCCCCATTAACCCTTCACCCTGCCTCGTCCTCCCGTTTCCTTGCGTTTCGTTCTTTCCGCTGCCCTTCGGTATCGGTATTTGTCGGGCCTACCTCTCGCGCGCTCTTGTTTGTCCACACGCGAGTTCCAACGCTGCCCCAGGCGAGTTCGGCGTGCGTCGCGGCGTCTTTAATGCGCTGCCCCCGCGCTCGCTATCGGTGACGCGGGGAGGACGCCCGCACTCTCGATAGTCCCCTGAACCCCAGTCGAGCTCCGTGCTGCCCCAGACACCTTCGCCAACATGCGTCCTAAGGCTTGTACATTTATTTGTGGGTTGGAAAAATTGAATGAATTTTTGCGCGCAATAATTCCTTTGTTTCCTCTGAAAAATAATGCGGGCAGCCAGCATTGACTGGAGGTAAATTTTATTTTCGACCTCTACGAAGCAACAAAATATGTCGCCCGTCCACTCTGTAAATTTCAGGGTGATCCGCGAGGAAAAAAGATGCACGATGATGATCGTCATGCCTTGGGGAGGACTCGAACCTCCGTCTTTCCATGAGAAACTATCGGGAGAGTCACTGAGTGTCAATTGATCTACCAAGGCTTATTCTCTATATTTCGAGGATAGATAAGCGCATCAATTTCTGTGCAGTGGACTGTCTCCTTCAACCTCGTCACTAACGGTACAGTATGGAGGAAGTATGAGCTTCAGATTCATTTTTTTTTTCTGAGTCCTTGGTCGACTGCACACAAAACGGCTCGCAGCCTGAACGTGTATAGTACAGGCCAGAAGGAAGAAAGCAAAAAAAAAGACCAGTATCTGTGGCAAATGCCTTGGGGAGATTCGAACCTCCGTCTTCCCAAGTGTAACGCAATATTGTGGGCATGTTACTGAGTGGGGGTGATCTGCTTGATCTACCAAGGCTTAATGTCTGTATTTTTGAGGCTGGATAGGTACGAGAAGTCTCTGAATGCGGCGAGTCCCTTTTCAACCTTCTATGCTACGATTGAATATCGGAGCAAACAAAATTTGAATGAATGTGGACTCCGACTGGTTGGGAAATTCTATATGTGTGAATGTCACTGGATGAACACAAAGACTGGTGTGTCTGAAATGACACAATGAAACAAGGGGAACATGCAAGGCAAGAACGAAAAAGTCACGCTTCATCACTGAAAATCCATGCCTCTGGGAGGATTCGACCTCCGTCTTCTGAATAATGCGCTGGGATGATTTGCCAATTGATCCACCAAGGCTTCGATACCCTGATATATTTGTATCCTGTGTGTCTCTTATCCCACTGCTACATACTAACTTGATGGCCTGGGACTTGTGAGTGGATAAGACGGTGGAAGACGGAAATACTAGTCTCTCCTAGACAGACGCTACAACTTGAGGTTCGTCGAATCGTACCTCGAACTACGGCCGAATAAAAAAATGTACACCAGGAATTCGAAGCCTCATCTGCACATTGTCTGCTTGATATTATCTGGCCACTGTGTAGGGATAATCTGCCAATTGACCCGCCAAGGCTTTATTCTCTGTAAGTAGGTGCGAGTTTGGATTTTTGTCTAGCTAAAAATCACGCGGCCAGCATTATATCGAAATGTATTTTCGATCCAGGAACAGTAAGTTTAAGGCGTTTTACAGCATTGCGTCAAGCTTTTGAAATTCGAGGCTCCGGAGCCAGTAATAACCAAAGAGGAAGGATAGAGCCGCAGATGAAAAAAATAACGGAAGTATTGATATTACATAAATGCCTTGGGGAGGATTCGAACCTCCGTCATCCCGTATATTCGGGGACCATGACTTATAAAGCTGGGATGATCTGCCAATTGATCTATCAAGGCTTATTCTCTATATTTCGAGGCTGGGTGGGTGCAGTGAATTCTGTGCGAGCAGCTTAGGACTGCCGCCCGTTGCCGTGACGGCAACGGCCGTCGATTCAACGGCTACTCCACGGCAACGGGCCGTCGAACAACGGCCCGTTGCATGGGTGAGAGAGGTCCTCACAGGACGGTACGGTCAACGGCACGGCCGTAACGGGTTGTTGACGGGCCCACGGGTTGAGAATAGTTTGTTTGAGCCATTTTACGCGCAGAAGTGAGCTTTAATGTACTTCCCAAGTTTTTTTTGTCGCAGCATAATACAAGTGAACACATATACCGACCGTTAAGCCAATGTTAAGCACCGAGAAAGCTTCTCAACTGAATTCAACTGAATCAGTGAGTATCCCCACTTCATCATCACAACCCAAAAGCCCAAATAATGCAAGGAGATATTTAACGGACAGCCATTTGTCTAAGAGAGGGGAGAAAATTTCCGCCGACAGGTAGTTGAAGTTGAATGAACTTAGTTGGACATTGCCATCACAGTTACGGCAATTGCCGCGATGGTGCAAAGACTTTGTATTGTGAGGACTGGAGGGAAGAGAATATATAAATAATGAAATAGAAACATATTAGAACACCCAGGTGTCCTTCCTGGACCAGAACCACACCTGGAAAAATGTTTCTGATTGCAATAAAAATTACGCCGTTGAACGGCCGTGACGGCCGTTTTCAACGGGCCGTAACACTGCGAACCCGTACCGCGACCGTGGCGTTGAGGTCGAGTAAAAATGGCTGACGGAACGGGCACGGCACCCCGTCGACGGGTGCCGTGGAACCGTCGCAACGGTCACCGGCGGCAGCCCTATGCGAGCTGTAGACCTGAGCGACTCAACCATCAGCTCATAGTCTTTGATTGCTGGAGTACGGAGAAGGGATGATCTACCAACGATCCACTGAGGCGTTCCTGCTCTTATTTGAGGATAGGTCTTGTAAGTGCGAAAGGAGGTTGTAAATAGATCGCCCCGAATAAGATATCAATCAGTCAGTGAGTTTGAGCTCAAGTGAAGTGTATCTGGGTCGCGTGCAGAAAAAGATGTGTATTGTACAGAAAGGTGGTTACTGTACAGCGAGAAAATAACGCCAGGCGTAAGCTATGAAAAAAGACTTTCCGCCGCGCCCTATGCCTCTAGAGGGATTCAAACCCCCATCTTCCCACTGTAGGATCCGCGTTGGATAAAGTAACGGGGACGATCCACCATGATCCACCGAGGCTTTCCTGCGATACCTATGCAACCAGATAAGTGTACCTTTCGAATTCACCTAGAATTAAATTTGAACTTGAACCAAGCCCGGCAACTCCCGAACCAATCAATTAATCATGACCAAATCAAGTGTCTCCTTTTTCGGCTGGTTCTTTCTCCCACCGACTGAGACTGACGTCGTGCTCGTTCATCTGAGGCTTGGCTTTCGACGACGACTACACAGACGATGTCGACGAAGAAGTAATGACCTCACAAAGGGAGAGTCAAAAAGGTGGCCACACCCTTATCTCTCGGTTGAAGTAGTGGTATAGGACCCACAGTTTGTCCTCCAATCGGCACCCGAAAACCAAGAAACTTCACGACGAACAATCTATTGACAAAGAGAGTATCAAAAGAGAGTCTGGTCGGAAATGGAGACTAATTTAATCCAAATCGATCATTTCATTCCTTCTGCGCTATTCCCTCGCTATTTAGGGCGATGTTCTTCTGTCCTTGTCTACATCTGGGAGGGACCCACAAGTCCACGGCGCCCGAAGAACAAGCGACGTTGCGACGAACACAAAAGAAATGCAAAAAAGGCTGTGTCGGTAATTTAGAGAATGGACGCTGTTGTTTTCTCAGCATTTTAAACATGTTTATTTTTCTGATTTTGTCGAGTTGTGGGTCTATACGTTACAACATTTCCGTGACACGTCACATCACAGTACTAATGCTCTTCCGCAACCATCGTCGCCCAGTTCATCTGACGACTCGCACACTCAGACTAACACATTCTTCCATGAACCACTACAGGTATGCCTCCCGCTGGATGGGGTGCCGGATAGTCTGCTAATCCGATGATCAGCTCTATTAGTGACTCGTACCAGGCGGGCAGCACCCTCGACATTTTCTTCAGGCCAGAGATCTCTCCTGCTCAAATCAAGAGCCTATTTTCAGTGCAACAGACAGGAATTCAAAGCGAGCTGTCAATCAACTGGCATGACAGCGTTACCCCTCTGACAATCAGGATCCTCCGAGCTTTCACTCCCTTCACCTCGGCGGTGGTGCTTTTGGCCGAAGCTCTCGACTGTCCGGCGCATCTGAAACTCCTCCCCAAACAGTTCATTCTCAAGCTCAGTGATCGTCGTTTCGGTTGCCGGGATCCTGTCCAGCCACAGCTACTCTGGAGACCCGAAATCGAGTTTCCACTCCGCCGAGGAATGCAGCGAATGGTCGGAACGGATCGTTCTCGCCCGATTCCACAGATGTACTACCGCAGAAAGTACTTGCGGCCGGAAGAGGATCCCGAAGGTCCGCTTCCAGAGTGAGACGGCTGGGAACTTGAGTTGTACATTTGGACAGTCAAGCAGTGCTCATATTTGGCGGAAGCCCTGGCATACCGCCATCTGCAGGCCCTCCAGGGAAGCTGTATACCCACTCTCCACGGCACCATCCGTGTCCCCATATCTCCATCCACCGCCTTCGTCCATCCCGTTGTGGACTTCATCCCTGGGCTCGCCCTCGAGTACATTGCCGGCCCGCACATGGGGGAGTTGGAAGTCGGAGTCGATATCACCAAGGACGACGGGGAGCTTATTTCCCAGCGCCTCATAGACTCCGTGACCCAGATTCGCAACTCTTACTGTCGGCACAATGACATTCACCTTGCGAATGTCGTCCTGCGGAATTGGCCGGAGAACCCCCAGCCCGTTATCATCGACTTCGGCCTGTCCTCGGTCATCCCCCCCGGAACACCCACGGCGAAGTGGGTCAGTAATGTGGATGAAGTGTTGGAAGTGCGTACTGACCCGGAAAATGGCGACTGGCATATCGGCTCTCCTTATCAGCAATGTGTCTATGAAAAACTTGCGCAGCTTCGTGGGTGTGCGTATGTGAATAACCGCATTGAGGCCATCCCGGAGGACATCCGAAATATCCAATTTGAACGTGTTCCGGGTTCCGAGGCATTCGAAGCGAGGGAGATGATGCTGTTGTGGCGGGTGAGGCCGCCGGGAGTGAGGACGCAAGATGATTATCTGGCCCGTGAAGGCAAACGATATTGATTGTCGAGGAGCGTTATCGTAGAATATCATTCAATTCAATTCAAATTCCATTTGAGCGCGCGCAGGCCCCTGGGGCCCATGTGGCACTAGTACAGGATACTAAGATAGCAGGCACACAGAGTGAGGGGCTGTAGCGGGTTGCGGTAGGTATACTTTGTTTCGCGCATCCACGTGGCCACGTCGTATTTAAATAGTAAAGCTTCTTGTGGGGTTTCTCAAAAAATGTCGCGCAGGAAGAAGTTCAGTCTAATTCGAACTAGGAACTCACGCTTACTTCAAGAAACTGTTCCCAAGAAGAGCAGGTGCGAACCACTCCGCCCTCGATCTTGAAATACAGCGATTGGAACCTCAATACTAGTGAATACCCAACGTAGCTTCGATTTCAAGAGAACACCGTGCGTCCTGAGTGCATAAATGAATACATGGAGAGAAAGACGGAGGAGAAAGTACCTAAAAACCTTGGTTGAATTGTAGATGTCGGAATTTGCCTCTCCATCGAGTAGGGATGATCAGCCCGTTAATCCGCCAAGGCTTATTCCCCCATTTCCGGCGGTTGGATATGCGCGGCAAATCCTTGTACGGGCTGCCTGTTTTTTCTTTTCAGCCTTGTCGATCGACTGAAATCTCAGGAACAACAAAATTGAATGAATGGGGACTCCAATTGGCTTGGAAATTCTATGTGTGTATGTAGATGACGACACAGACTAGTGTAAGCGAAACCGGGTGCGCGGAGTGCCGAGCGCAGGCTTGAGCTTAAATAGCCTGCGTTCTTTAGTTTGTACGAGAAAGATAAGATAGTTCAAGTTCCTAGATAATCAACGGCAAGTCAGTACGGATCTACCTTAGCAACCGAACAACGAGATTTGTATCTTCGTTGGACGCGAACACGGGATACGTCTCCGTATTCTTAGGATTGCGTTGCTAACCGTGAAGCAAGCTTATAGCGTTACTTGTAGAGTTAGTTGGCGGTAAGTTCTTAATGAGCTCGCGGCGTCACTTAAGTTCACGCAGATGTCAGTTCAACTGATTGTATGTGATTGAGATGTCAGATCCAGGACTTTGACTATCTACAGCTATATAAAGGTAGCTAAAGAATATTCTACTGAGTTCCATGTATTTCTATAAAAGAGAAGAATATTCGACAAAGTTCTCAGGTGTTCGATCCGAGTGCTGGAGGTTCTAAGAATAGAATGATATTCCATCACAAAGCCCCCCCAGCCTACATGTACTCGGATACAAGTAAAAAAAATGGATTGGAGCAACGGTGGTAGTACAAAAGAGACCTGCATGGATATGAGTATCAACTTCCATTTCCTCCTCCTCAGCATTGTCCCCAAAAGCCGCAGGCCATGCTGCGATGTGGCTCGTTGTCGACCCATCTTTTTCCGACTGATGGTGTGTGAAACTGAGGCGTGAAGCATTTGATGTGATTAGCCGAGCGCAAGCAAAGTCAACATCACTTTGCTCAGCAAGATTGCGCATGTAAACTGCAAGTTCTGAGTACCCTCCATAATGGAATGTAGGCGTAACCCGGTGCATGAACTCTGCATCGCTCATGCCGATTGCAGAGCCCCACTTCCAGGTGCCAAGATAGCCCCTTTCGATGGACATGCAAATGCCGTTTGCGATCCAGAAGACGAAGTAACGGCATATCTTCTGGAGTGTGGCAATGTGGTCCAAGGCCTCGGGAATAGTGCGAAAAAGAAGTGCTTCG